AAAAGAGGAAGAAAACAAACAAAAAAAGGCCTGTTAGTAGATCAAGGTCTGTGTGTTGACCTTTAGGAGCGTTTTCTGGACGAGTCTAATGGGGTGCCACGTCCTGGTCCCAGAGTCCATCCTTTGTCTTCCCTTGGGACCTCCTTGCTCTGCTTCCCTGCCGCTCCATTGCACACCCCCAGTATTTTGCCTCAGTGTGGTGGGGTCAGCTCAGTCGCCCATTCCACACTGTGTCTCCGGTGCTGTCCCGTGCAGGGCCGTGTGTCAGCGCAGGATGCCGCATCTCGCCGTGGGGGCAGCCACACAGCCCTCTCTGTACACTGGGCCCTCTGAGCTGGGCCATCGTCCTCTGAGTTATGTGGGTCCAGTTGTGCTCTGCTCCTTTCCTCCTCCTTCCTTTGTCCCAGCTTCCCTCTGGGTGTGGTGTGGTAGGTCAGCTCTCCACTCCTGCTTTTTTATGATTGCCAATGACTTGTTAAATTTTTCTTTATCCTCTGATTTTTCAGTCTTGTTTTCTATTCTTGTTTTTACCCTATTTTCGATAGGTCTTGTTTTCTTTGGGTTTCTGTACTATTCTCTGTCTCTTGATTGGTGCATTCATTGTCATTACTGAAATATGTGAATTTGTTGCTGTTAACTTGCTGTCTCTGTTAGGTTACTTTCCCCTCCCATATGTAGATGCATGTGGTTCTGTTAGTGTCTTTGTTCCTGCTCTAAATCTGAGTTGTTTTGAGTGCTCCTTTCATTGCATGGGTCTCTGGGTGATGCTCTCAGGTTTGTCTGTTGTTGCCGTTGATTTTCTGTCCATAGTGACCCCTTTAATTTTTCTCGTGACGCTCATCTTTAAAAAATTCCTTTAGTTTTTCCTCATTTGGGAATGCCTTTATTTCTCTCTTGTACTTGCGGGATAATTTTGCTGGATAAGGATTCTTGGCTGTGTTTTTCTTTCAGATTATGATATATATGTCATTCCATTATCTCCTAGCCTGCAAGTTTTGCTGAGAAGTCTGAGCTTATAATGATTGGCTTTCCATTGTAAGTGACTATTCTTTTTTTCTCTAGCTACCCTCAGTATTCTGTCCTTTTGCTGGAAATAGGAGTGTTTGGCCACATAAGTTAGGATGTTTTTCTTTAGGAATCTAGCCTGCTTGTAGTTCTGTCAGCTTCTTGAGTAATTAATTTCTCCTCCTTTGTGATATTGGAGACATTTTCTTGCATGATTTCTCTTACCGTGTTCTGTGTAAATTTTGTTTTTGTTGTTTCTTTTTGCTCTGGGATCCCCATGGGTCATATGCTGTTTCTCTCGGTTGTGTTCCACATCATTCTTGCACTTTCTTTGGATTTGTTTGCTTCCTTTTTTTTTTTAATTGTTTCTTTTGCCAGTTATAGTCAGAGTATTTGTCTTTGAGCTCACAGATTCAATTGTTCTTGTCTTATATTCTATTACTAATGTCTTTTACCATGTTGTCTAATTCTTTTATATTATTATTTTAGCATCTTAGACTTCTTTTGGTATATGGTTTCGAGTTTTTCTCACGTGTCTTCTCCACATCTCTTGAAAGCACCCAAATACTATTTTTTCTGAATTCTATTTCTGTTCATTCCAGGGCCACTATTTTAGAGGGTTTGGGTGATTTTGCTAGTTTGTATTTGTTTTTCTTGATTGTTTTCCGTCTACTGCAGTTGACTGCTCTCTTTGTTCCGCCATGTTACAGTTCTCAATTACGTGTTGGCTGCTGAGTCAGGTAGGGGTAGTTGGATTTGTCAATGACACAGGAAAGGTCTAATATGTGCTAGAAAACTTGTGGTATTGGCAAAGAAAAAAAGAGAGTGATAGTAAATGGGAGACTAATAAAAGAGAATGAAATAAAAGTAATAATGATAAAAAGCATTCTGAGTAGACCAAAAGGTTTGCAAAATAATTGAAAGTGAATTTTAGGACTGGTAATGGGATTAATAGCTATTGTGGAAATATATTTCATGGAGACATGAGAGGGAGAGAGAGCAGAAGCAAGATAGTGAGTGCATCAGGAGAAAAGTGTAAGCTAATAATCAGACCAGAGGAGGGTGTGTGTGTGTGTATGAAGTAGAATCAAGGAAGAGAAAATGAGAGAAAGAAGGAATGAAAAGAGTGAAAGAAAGGAAGATAGATAAAAGAAAACTACAAGAAGGAAATAGCATAATTGTGCAGAGAAGAAAGGATAAAAGACAGGAGCGTAGCTTGGACGTGGAGTTCTTTTGCTATGGCAATGGCAATGTGAGCAGGTTTTTCCCCCCAGGGCAAAGAAAAAACAAACCAACAAAATTTTTTACTGGTTTAAAAAGAAATACCTGGGTTAAGTGAGTGTGTCTACATGGGCATGCATGCCTGTGTCTGCCTGGGGGCTGTGCTATGTTAAACGGTCTAGGGCCACACAGGATGAGAAAGTAAGATGGAAAAAGGAAAAACAAAATAAAGTAAAATAAAACAGAAGAACAAAACCCAAAATTAAATAAAACTGCAGTATTGGTGGGGATTCCTGATCCTTTTGCATCGTTTGTGTTGCTTGTGTCTGGGAAAGGAGCACCTGAGAAAGGCGGAAGAATAAAGGCTAAAGTGGGGAAAAGCATTTTTGGGTACGGAGGATGTCTGCACCAAGCTGTCCACATGGTCTCTCTCCATGTAAAGCTCCCAGAGGCCAGAGAGGCAAGAAATTTGGCTTGGTGAATTGGAGCCGGAGCAGGAAGGATAAGCTTGTACAGGGGATGGGGAGTAGCTTGGGCTGGTCATTAGTAAAGGGGAGTCAGTAACAGCAAGTGTTGTTGATGTTCAAGTTTTAAAACCTTTGCTTTCTTAGCTTTTAAGTTGTTTTTCTGGATTCCCGGGAGCACACGACTTCGCTACTGTTGGGACCTCTGAGGAGAGCTTACCTGATAGTCACATTTCTTGAGTCTCTCTACTATCTATTTTTAACAGATTGAAAACCACTTTTTTATCCTTCATATTATTTACTCTGGACCAAGCCATTTCCCCTTTAGAAGCTATCTAAAAAGAGCATTGGACAGCTAATTAAAAATGATTTAATGCTCTGGATCCCACTATGTTGATTTAACAAGTTTTGTCTATCAGAAAATGTTGCCTTCTGATTCCATAGTAGTAGAAGAAATAGTTGTTGGAATAAATAAGATGAAGAAGTAACGGAACTAGGAATAATGGTAGTTATCATTTATATATATATATATATGGCAATATTATGAGTAATGTTGACTCATTTATCCTAACAACCTTTGAGATAACACTAGCCTTATTCCATATTGTGAAGAATCTGATGCATTGTGATGTTAAATAATATGCCCAAGGTCACAGAGCTAATGGAGGAATCAGAATTCAAAATGGGATATTTGGCTTCTTAGTTCATGTGTGTAGAAGGTAAAATATATGTTTGCTTCACTTAACCAAGGTACCACTGCCATAGAATCCGTTTTAACTCTAGTGACTCCGCATGACAGAGTAGAACCACCCCATAGGGTTTCCAAGGCTGTGAATTTTTTTTTTGGAAGAAAACTCTCACATCTCCTGCTTCCAAAGGTGGTGGATTTCAACCACTGACCATTAGGTAACAGCCAAGTACTTTAACCAGTGCACCACCAGGATACCTTGTCAGCTGAACTAAAATAGCTAAGTCAAATTGCTATCACATTAAATGACTCTTAGTAGTTAAGATTGCTTAAATACTGTATGTACTTGAGTATAAGCCAACCCAAATATCCACCAAGGCACCTAATTTTACCACAAAAACTGCATTAAAAATGTGCTGAAACACTCGGCTTATTCTGGAGTATATACGGTAAATTAGTAGCAGCTCAATTCAATAATAAATACCATCAGAGTAGAGTAATAAACAGACCTCAATCTATCTTTTAAAAATTGTCTGTTCTTCTGCTGGGCATTTGGGCTGTTTATTTCTTATAATTGAGGACAATGCCGTGATGAACATAGGCGTGCATTTGTCTGGTCATGCTAGGACTCTTATTTCTTTAGAGTATATACCCAACAAAAGCATTGTTGGGTCATATGGACTTTCTCTTACCAGTGGTGTGAGGCAGCACTATATCACTTTCCACCGTGATTTACAGTTCCATCAACAGTATATGAGTGTTCCAATTTATCCACACCTTCTCTAGCATTTGTTTTTGTTCGTTTCTTTTTTTTAATTTGGGTGTCATTGTAAGGTGGTATCTCATCGTTGATTTAATTTGCATCTCCTGGAGGTTAGTGATCATATGTACAATGGAATACTATGCATTATTAAAAAGTAATCATGAAACCATAAATCACTTTATGGCCTGAACCCACCTAAAGAATATTATGCTGAGTGAAATAAATTAATCACAAAAGGATAAATATTGTATGAGATCACTGTTACAAAGGAAAACAAAAACAGAGGCTTTCATATCAAAGGAAACAGATTTTGGAGGTTACCAAAGGGGATGGTATGAAGGGGAAGTTGAAGCAATAGGTTAGTGGTTAACAGGTACTAACTTGGGTGAGGGAGAAGAGATATCCAGGAAGGGGTATGGGTTAGGCTATTGGAGGGGTTGATAAGTAGTTTAAACTGTTAAATACAAAATTGTTAGTCTGAAATGTAAGTTCCCACCTAATAAAAAGTAATTTTAAAAATATATGTATTTGCTTAATTGAAAAATGTTGGTTAAATTGACAGTTTTATTTTCATCTAAAGAGAGTTTGATGTTTTTTCCCTCCAGGAACACAAAGAGGGGCAGTTTACATCCATGCCCCGAGAGGTTTGTAGATCCTTTGTGAAGATTATAGCAGAAGTCCTAGGATCTCCCCCAGATTTGGAATTACTGACAATTATCTTCAATTTCCTTTTAGCAGTTCACCCTCCTACTAATACTTATGTTTGTCACAACCCCACAAACTTCTACTTTTCTTTGCATATAGGTAGGTAAAATTATTTTTGTTAGATCCTAGATAATTTATTTTTTCTTCCCACTTGATCCACATTTGTTCAATATCCCAAATGGTCTCTGTATACTAGAAACTATGATAATCAAGTACTGGAATTGGGATAGGGCAGAGAGGTATAAAATGAACTAGACAGGGTCTCTGCCACAAAGGGCTTAAATTTTAGGAGGCGATATATAGTCAAATAATGACATTAAGAAATAATATATTTTAAGTACTACACCCGTAAACAGTTACAGTGATTGGAAACTGTAACTGGGGCCAGTTCTACCCTGAACTATATAGAGTTGCTTTGAGTCGTCATTGACTCAATGGTAGGTTTTTCAGTTAGTTTGTTTTTAATTGAAAGAACTAATTAGATTTCAGAGGAGTGGAGACTTCATCAGACAGCTGTGGAGAATGAGATTTAATAGGTTATATGGTATTTGATCTGAGCATTGAAGAATTTATTTGGAATTTGGATGGGTAGATTAAATAGTAGCATTCCAAGTTAAGGGAATGATTTAATGGGAGGAAAACAATGTTAATAGAAATCAAGGAGTAATGTATTTTACCAAATTATGGAATATCTATAAAGGTATACTAAGAAAATGCCATTAATTAGTTTCCAATTGTCGTTTATTTTTCCCTTGAGACATGTTAAATGTGTCCTGGAATGTAAGGCCAAGTCTGAACTTGTATTCTAGTTAGAGGTCATTATACGATTTGCTTTGTATAGCTTATTTGTTTTGAGTAAAGTCATCTTGTCTAAGTAAATTAAGAAGAGAAATTAGGGACAATAAAACCTATCATAGTAGTCTGTAAGCTATATGAAGTAATAGGAACTGGGCATAATAGTAGTGGAGTTGGAAAGGAGGGATAAATGTAGAAATGTTAGGGACTACTGAATTTGTTAAGGAATGATTTCAGTCTTATGTATTGTATTTGTGAATATAATTAATCAGATGTAATTGTCTAACAAGCAGTTGGATATGGATAATATAACGTGGGAGAGTATAACATAGGGAGAGCCACCAGCATAGAAATTAAACTTTTAACAAAAGATAGGACAAGTAAAGAGAAGTGTATAGAGGAAGATAAGTAGAAAAGTTATAAAGTTAACCCTTGAACAACATGGGTTTGAAGTACACAGACCCACTTGTAAGTAGTTTTGGACTTTTCCTATTGGTATTGTGGTGAGTCAAATGTTGCCAGTATCCACTTAAAACGACATGTAGCACTAATCATTTCTATATGAACAGCTGTCTCTCCAATAACTGCTGTAGTCCCTCATCTTTTCATTTCTCCTACTTGAAGAGACAAACTATGATAGCAGTCAAGAGTAGCATCATATGGTGGTTTAAGCAGGGTAACATTTGAGAGGGAAAATTCTGGTAGCTATGAGGATTTGAGTGTGACAAGATTAGAAATCTGTGACAATAGTTGGGTGATAAATAATAAGAGCCTGAATTATGGCAATATAGTAGAGATGAGAAGAGTTCAAGAAATAGGAAATAAAATTAGTAGAATTTGGCAACTGACTTAATGTGCATAAAGAAAAGGCAGTAGTCAAGAATGTTCCAGATCGCTGTCTAATGAGTGGGTGGGTCTATCACCTAAACCTAAACCAGAGAACAAAACATGAAGAATGAATTCAGAGCAGAAAGATTATTCAGATGTGTTGCATTTCTGATGTGGATTTAAGAAATCAGACAATTAAATTTACAAGTATGAAGTTCAGAAAGGAAATGTCAGTTGGCAGTATCTATTTTGGAGCATAGTAAACACAATAGGGACATATAAAAATATAATACATAGACCTTCCTCAAAGAATGAAGAGATGAACAGTCTCTTTAGAAAGATAATATTAATTAAAAAGTAAAATGTTAAATATTAAACTACAAACTACTGCAAGTACAGTTGGAATTTAGAGGAAGTAGAAGTTATATAATCAGTAATGGACAACCAAAATACTGTAGCAAGAAATTATAGAATGCAAGTATTCATATATAAAGTATATATTACTATAAAGTATACCCTATTTTCCCCTCTTTGAACATCTTTTTGTAAAAATGTGTATTTAATGATTTGATTTTAAAGTTCTATTTTGTTGTGTGGGTTTTTTTTGTGTGTGTGCTGTCTCAAAAAATTCTTTTTAATGAATTTGTTTTCCCCATCTAATTCTAGATGGCAAGATCTTTCAGGAGAAAGTCCAGTCAATCATGTACCTGAGGCATTCCAGCAGTGGAGGAAAATCTGGTACTAGTCCTGGATTTATGGTAATAAGTCCATCTGGCTTTACGGCTTCATCTCCCGAAGGTAAAAAAGGAATGATAAAAGTATAAGTCTTCCGGTTTTAATACTGAATGTGTGAATAAGTTAAATTGTACATGTCTGTCAGTAAAATACAAGTGGTATTCAGACTAAATAAATTAAAATTATACAATATGTTTAAGGAATAACATTTTATTACCTTCCAATATCAGTACTCAAAACGATTAGTCTAACAAGAGCACAAGACCTCAAAAGAACTTGGGAATTCCCCAAAATGAGGCTTGTTCTGTGTCGCTCTGTCATTCTCTGTCCCTGGTATCATCATTGTTCGTTTTGTAATTAATCTTCTGATTTATTGGTCCATATTCTTCAAAAGCTTAATTTTGCTCTCTTTCTCTTTTCTATCTAAATCAATAACTTGCTACTGAATGGCCATTTAGCACTCCAGCCTCAAGTCCTCTGACTCTGGGACTTCTTTTCTGTGTATGAATATATATGCAATTGTATTGAACTTTATAATCACCCACGATGTTTCCTGCCTCTTGGAAACACTAGTATTTCTTAACAGCCTACTGCATTCTAGTTTCTTTGTTACCGTCCCAAGTTCCTTGCTGCCTCTGCTTTCCCTATCTACCTAGATTCCGTTAGCTAATAACTTTCTTTTTTTTTATATTATTTTATTGAGGGCTTGTACATTTCTTTTTTTTTCTTGATTTTTAAAAATCATTTTATTAGGGGCTCATACAACTCTTATCACAATCCAGACATACATCAATTATGTAAAGCACATTTGTACATTCATTGCCCTCATCATTCTCAAAACATTTCCTCTCCACTTAAGCCCCCCGGCATTAGGCTAATAACTTTCTTGTCCTCTTAACCTTCTTGGTTTTCTTGATCTGAAATACCAGAACCCTAGATCAGTTTCACCATATGACATCTCCATTTCTATCACTGCCTGGCTAACCACTACAAGATAAACTCACTCCTGAGAATACTTTCCATTACAAGGGTCTCTAATTCCCTTAGAATTAAGGGAAGGGTAACAGGGCTTTTAATATCATGGCATTATTTTTCTGTATGTTTGGAATCAATTCCTTCTATTTTCCATAATCCCATCTATACTCAAATCTTTAAGCCTAAAACATAAGTGCTTTCCTTTCTTGGCCATGCTCTTTCTCATAAGAACCCCTGGTGGCACAGTGGTTAAGCACTCTGCTATAACTTGAACTTCAATATGAACCCACCAGTATTAGCTAATTGGACTATTACTCTGATTGTGATGGATTGTGATCCCACTTAATATATGTTAGGTAATAGTTTTTGTCTATTCTTATCAGGAAACAATTCCTCCAGTATTATTCCACAACGCATTACTGCTCACATGCTGCGTTCTAGAAGCCTACCAGCACTTCCTACTTCTTCACCACTAATGCAACCACAAAAACTGGCTGCAAGTTTGAGTGGTAGTATCGAGAAGTTACAGAATATTGTAGATAATTATGTTGTGACCCAACCAGAGAAAGGTAATGCTTTGGTGAGTTCTGAGATGCTGAAAAAAGGCAAAGAAGATGCATTCGTCAGTAGCTGTGAGTCTGCAAAAACAGTTTGTGAAATGGATGCTATTCTTCTGGCTCAAGGCTCTGTCAGTAGTCTTCCAAAAGGAAAGTTAAGATTTCCAGGGGTCAAAGATCGTAAAGAAGTTGGAACAGAATCCAAATCAGAGGAAGGCAGTCCTGGGGATGAGTCTTGCCCACGTCGACCTGACTTCCTAAAGGGACTTGCTTCATTCCAGCGAAGCCAGAGCACTGTGGCAAGCTTAGGGCTAGCTTTTCCCGCGCAGAATGGCTCTGCAGCTGTTGGTCGTTGGCCAAGCCTTGTTGATAGAAACACTGATGATTGGGAAAACTTTGCCTTTCCTCTTGGTTATGAGCAAAACGTCAACAGAACTGCAAATGTTCACAGGTATGCATGTGATTTTGGATATCCTCTTTTTTGACTACTTCTTTTAAGAATATCAACCTTTTAGAAATAATTTTTATGTCACTTTTTATAGTACAATAGATAAATTAATACACTTATTCTAAATCTGTTGCCCAATACAGTAGACACTAACTACATGTGGCTATTGGGTACTTGAAATGTGGCCAAGGCATCTGAGCAACTGACTTTTACTTAATTTAATTTGAGTTTAATGATATGTATTTAGTATTAGAGCTCATATATATATATAGTTGTTAGTAGACTGTATACCTTAAAAACATCAATGATGAGCATAGATTGTGAACACTTTCAGAATGCCATGGATAACAGTGGAAGCCCAAAATCCATTTGTAGGGTCCACACATGGAGTAAGCCTCTGGTGAATCCACTCTGATCATAGAAGAGGGAAGTGAATAGCCTTGTTATCACACAAAGAGAATTACAACGTTGATTATTGGCAGTTCAGTCAAAATGTAATACCTTATCATTTGATCTGCTTTTTGACCCATTTTAAAGGTGTTTCCGTTTTAAAAATTAAAAAATTAAGGGAAATACACATGTATTCAGCCCCTCGTGAATCCCCTCTGACCACAGACCAGGAATGTGAATGGCCTTGCTATCATGCAGAATGCAGTGGGAAGTAGATTGTTACAGATGCGGTCAGGTTAAAACTTAGCACACTATTATTTGATCTCCCTTATGATCCATTTAAATTTGTTATGGTTTTTAATATTTCATGCTTTCTTTTCTATTGAGGTTTTTTTATCTGTTAGTTTTGCTTGTTTTTTTAAATGTTTTTCTTTATATGAAATCCAGGATAAGTAAATCACAAGAGACAATAACTGGATTAATGGTTCCTTCGGGGTCCCAGAGGGGAAGTTGTGGGGAAATGGGGAGCTAATAACTGCCTACAAGAATAAAGAAAATGTTCTAAAACTGATTGTGGTGGTGATTGTACAATTTCTCTTAATGTGATCGAATTATTGGATCGTATTATGTGAATTATATGACAACAAACATTTGAGAAAAAAATTTAAGAATTCTTAAAAAAAACACAAAATAAACAAAAAACTATCAGTGATATAAGTTGATGGTAAATTTGTTAGTAACATTTATACCACGAAAGATTCCTTATATCTTATGAACATCTGTTTCAAGTGTTAGAGTGGCTATTACTACTAATCACAATCCTTAAGGTGATATACTAACTTTTCTCCCTGATATTATCTTAACTAAACATTTTTGACTGTTTTAGTATAACTGAAGATTGTTTAGTACCTATCTGCTGTGGATTATATGACCTCTTAAGTGGAGTTCTTCTTGTTCTGCCTGATATTATGCTAGAAGATGTGATGGACAAACTTATTCAAGCAGATACACTCTTAGTTCTTGTTAACCACCCATCACCTGCCATACAACAAGGAGTTATTAAAGTAAGGGCAATACCAGATAAGTGTTGTTTTAACTTAGAAAAAATCCATGTATGTATAACTTGACACGTGCTATATATGTTAATGTAGACCCAAACCTTTATTTTGTCATTAAGACTGATGAGCTGATATAGGAAACCCTGGTGGTGCAGTTATTAAAGTGCTTGACTGCTAACTGAAAGATCCACATTCAACTCACCAGATACTCAGTGGGAGAAGACGGTCTCCTTCTCTAAAGAGTTACAGTCTTAGAAAGCCCAAACAGTTCGGCGTTGTCCTATAAGGTTGCTGTGAGTTGGAATTGATTCATTGGCAATAAGTCTGATAATTTGTTATTCATATGTTTATATATACTTTCATTCAATTTTAAATCCTTCTCTGTTGATTTATATCAGTGTGTTTTATTTTAAATATGCCAATAGATTCACATATTTTTCCACTTAGTAAACTATTTTGAAAAAACTATGAGGAAAAATTATGCAGTTTATGTGTGCTAATTCTAAAACATTTACTTCAGCTCTCAGCTTAGAGGTTACCTTTTCAGAGAGACCATTCCCAATCACGTCAAAAAATAAGTCACTTTATTTTGCTTTGGCATTGCATATTTTAAATCTTCTATGCATGTCTATAAATAATGAAGTAAGTAATTTTTAAGTGTCACACTGGATCATTTAAATATATACTATAGTAAATATCAGTACATATTTATTGATTGATATTTCCTATAGATATTTAGTATATATTTTCTAAGTTGTCTTAAATTTTTTTCTTTAGCTATTAGATGCATATTTCAACAGAGCATCTAAGGAACAAAAAGATAAATTTCTGAAAAATCGAGGTTTTTCCTTGCTAGCTAACCAGCTGTATCTTCATCGGGGAACACAAGAAGTATTGGAATGCTTCATTGAAATGTTCTTTGGTAGAAGTATTGGCCTTGATGAAGAGTAAGTATATCTTCCCCTTTACCATAACTAGAGATCTTTGGTTTTAGATCTTAAATGTAAAAGTTGGTGAACTTATTTTTTAAATTTTTTGGTCACCTTTAGCAAGGAAAAAAGCACGTTGAAAGTAATTTTCTAGACTAATTGATTCATTATTTTTAATATGTTCTTTCTCTTAAACCGACTTCCTTTACATTTTATTCATTAGCTCAAAACCAGAAACAAATGAATGCTTCATCAAATAAAATTTGACAGTCAGTATTAATATGAGATTGCCTTGAGTTGGAATCAACTCGAGAGTGAGTTGCTTATTAATATGAGGTTAACTAGAAAGAAGTTGGCACAGGTAGTTTCCGTGACAGATTAAATGAGTGTTCCCTAGAGGAGAGCTCACTCCCCCTTAGATGAAGGAGAAGGCTGATCTTGGCATTTCTGGATGTAATGATGCTAAAAGTTGGCCCCAATGTAACACTGAAGGATTAGCGAATCAGTATGATAATAAAGGAAATGTTTTCTCTCAAACCAAAAACTTGGCATAAAATTAAGCTGTCATTACGTTCTATGCCAGTGTAGAGCATAATGCCTCCTTATTGTAGTCAATAAATTTAGACCCTTGGGGAATTTATTTACCGACTGTGTTAAGGCCAGTACAATAGTACCTTACATTTGGTCTTTTGAAATCTTACCTCGTTTAATTCTTACAGCTGTTTTGAGAAAAATATGTTACATACTTGGCAGGTAAAGAAAATGAGGTGCAAAATGCTAAAATAATTTTCCGTCATCACAGACAAACAGTGTTGGGACAAGGACTCAAGAGTCATTGCATTTGCAAGGCCTCTTTCTACTAGTTCACTGCACTTATTAGGTAGCCATCTAACGCAGGGTTGTTTTTTTCTTTTTAAATATTTATTGTTTCTTAATTGAAAGACCAAGTTGTAACTTAAGTAGAAGTTACAGAGCAAATTAGTTTCCCATTCAATAACGAACAGATTGTTCCTTGACAAAAGTTCCAGTCATACAATGTGTCAGTGCTCTCCTCATATCTAGTACTTGAAAAATGTAATGTTAAAGAAAGATTAAGAACTCTTACTTCCCACATTTATTTTTATAGCTTCGAAATTTCGTTTAAAAACTGCCATGGTTGTAACCTCTTTTTCTTATTTTGTGGTTGATTTCTTACCAGTGTGTTCATACCTGTGTATTTTTTACAGATTTGATCTGGAAGATGTGAAGCACATGGAGCTTTTTCAGAAGTGGTCTGTCATTCCACTTCTGGGCCTCATAGAGACGTCTCTGTATGACAACATACTCCTACATAATGCTCTCTTGCTACTTCTCCAAATTTTAAATTCTTGTTCTAAAGTAGCAGATCTGTTATTGGATAACGGTCTACTCTATGTTTTATGTAATACAGTAGCAGCTCTGAATGGACTGGAAAATAAGTAAGTTTAAGATTTTCTTTAAATTATATTATGGATAATTTAGACAGGGAAAAACCTTAGTACTAGTTTGCATTAAAGAATCTAGTTTTTAAAAGTATTCTCAAAGAACTTCTTTCCCACAAAATTGATTAGATGAAGTCACTACGGTAAGACTTTCATTTTTAATAAAACTTGGTTTAAAAGGTGTTTTTATATCTAAGGAGCCTTGGTGGCCGTAGTGGTCATGTTGTGCTGCTAACCACAAAGTCAGTAGTTTAAAACTACCAATCACATCTCTGGAGAAAAATGAGGCTTTCCAACTGCCATCAAGAGTTATGGTCTTGGAAATTCACAGGGGCAGTCCTACTCTGTTCTAAAGGGTAGCCAGGAGTCAGAATTGACCTGACGGCAGTGAGTAGTGAGAGTGATGTTTGGACATTTAGACAATGAACACAAGTAGACTGAATGTATTTACCCTCAAATATATTTTCCAGACTTCTACCATAATCATAAATATGCTTTCTCTAAGTTAAAATTAGAGCCAACCACCATTGAGCACTTATGACACATAGTTTTGCTTGCATTATATTCACACAACAACCCTAAGTACTATTATTATCCCCATCAGGAATAGGAAATTGACAATTAAAGAGATACAGTAATTTGAAGATCACATAGCTAGTAAGTACTGGAAAACTTGAAACCGAATCGGTGTCACTTTAAAAGCCTGTGTTTTGAACTCACCGTGCTATCCTGTCATTAGCATACTAAATCACTACTACCATAAATTAAGTTCTAAGAGCCAGAAATTACCTTGGCAAATGGCTGCCCACCAAATTAACAACTTAAAAATATATTTTAAATTGTTTTATTTAGATTTTGTGCCCCAGTATCTGAATTTGTGGCATGTAATATAATTTTTTTTAGTATGATGTTAAAACTTAATCTCCAGAACAAGCACATGAAAAGCCCCATTTGTCTTTTGCACATTAAAGCATGAAGTATTTACTGTATTTTGCATCAAAGGCAGAGCCTATCCTTAGCGATTCTCTAGACCAGGGGTTAGGAACCTTTTTTTGTGCCAAGGGTCATATGGATGTTTATAAAATCATTCATGAGCCATGCTGGTCAAACATTTAATCAACTTGCCTCTAATGTGATGCTCCCTTGAATGGGGAGAGATATTATCCTTTCACAGACAGTATTGTACTTCATGATAGATTGGAAATGTCCTTTTTGATGATAAATGTGATACAATTACTTTTGAATCTGCCATTCTGAGCATTGTAAACCATATAATTTTCTGATTCAAAAAGGTGAATACCAGTCCAGCACAGCTCATTACCACCTAGGATATGAATCTTTATGTGTTTCATTTCATTCGTTGTGACTTCCAGTTTTCCTAGATTCATACTTGGTACATTCTAAATTCCAATTATTAATAGATACTTTCAGCTATTAATTCTCATTTTGAGTTGGACCCCGTCAGCATGAAGGTCCCAAAGGTTTTACTCTACCCATGTCATTATAGTAGACTCTCCTTTGAGAAGGCAGCTCTTGCTTGGTCATAGTTTGAGTGTCTTCTGACCTGATGGGCTCAGCTTCTGACACTATCTCTGACAATTTTCTGCTATTCATAAGGTTTTCAGTATCTGACAGTATTCCACTGCTATACATAAGGTTTTCAATGGCTAATTCCTCTCAAGTGGACAGCCTATTCCTTGTTTGTAGTCTGTTCTCAGTCTGGAAGTTCTGCTGCAACATTTTCACTTAGGCTAAACCTGCTAGTATTTGAAAATACCAGTTACATAGCTTCCAGCATCACAGCAATATAGAAACCACCACCATATGACAAGCTAACAGACAGGTGGCTAAATTCACAAAGGATATAAATATCTCATAAAAGTATCAATAGGTAACACCTTAATAAAGAAAAGGTTTAAGTTCTCAAGGATTTCTTTTTGCTTGGATTCACAATCAATGCACATGAAAGCATCAGTTGAGAGATCAAACGATGTATTGAAGTTGGCAGCTTATTCTTTCTTCATAGTCTGTTCTTAATCTGGAAACTCAACTGACACCTGTTCACTTTGGGTGATCCTGCTGGTATTCGAAATACCAGTGACATAGTATTGCATTGGGTAACTTGAGTAAATACGATGGGGCAGGGCTGGGTGGAGCTTTTTGGGTAAGCACTCGGGTATACAACTGGGTATGCATTTTTCCCACTAGACAAACTCTGAGTAGCTCACTCTGAGTTAGTGCATCCAGTGGTGTTGCCTGCTAAAGTTCTCTTTGGTCACAGTGCAAATTTTTTTGTAAAAGTAGTTTTGCTCAAAAACCTCATTTTTTGTGATGGCCAATTTAAGAGAACAGCATGTGGCTATGAAATTTTGTTTCCTGCTAAAAAAAAATGCCACAGAAACTTGCAGTGTAAAAGGGCAGTGCTATGGGGGGAAAATCAAGTGTACAAAAGTTTTTCTTATTTCAAAAAATATGAAATGTTGATTGATGACAAACCTCCTTATGGACACCTGTCACCTTCCCAAAGGGACAAAAATGTCAGCAAAACTTGTGCACTTGTGCTCAAAGATCGAAGAAGGACCATTGAAGAGATAGGGAAGTTATCTGGACTATCTTGGAGCTCGGTTCAGCAAATTTTAATGAAAGATTTTGGAATGAAAATGCTTACTGTGAAATTTGTGCTTCCGGTTCTGACTGACCAGGAAAAAGAGCATAGAGTGGAAATATGCCATGCTTTTAAAGAACAGCTCCCAAGCAATCCAGATTTTCCTCCCCAAGGTCATGACTGGTGACAAGACATGGTGCTATTCTGAGGACCAGAAAACAAACATCAGTCAAGCCAGTGGAAGACACCATCATTACCTTGCCCAAAAAATGCTCATCAAGTGAAATAAAAGATCAAGACAAGACTCAGTTGTTTTTTTGGTATGAGGGGGATAGTGCATTTGGAGTTTGTTCGAATAGGTCAAGCTGTTAATCAAGCTTTCTATTAGAGGTTCTGAAAAGATTGCATAACCAAGAACACTTTGTTCTAATAATCTGGCATTCCATGATACTCATCTTCCTCACATGATTGCTGAAGAAAAAATGGGTGAAGAAAGCTGATGGTGCCCGCATATCAAAAGCTATCACCTCTGGAGTCTTAAAAGCTTGAAGATAAACAAGTGGCCATCTAGATGAGAAACAACAAAGCCCACATGGAAGAATCACACCAGCCATTGTGATCATGAGGACTGGGATCAGGTATCAGGCATCAAAGATCCAGAACAAAAAAAATCATAACAATGTGAATGAGGAGGATTGCAGAGTGGAGACCCAAAGTCCATCTGTAGACACTTACGGAAGGGTTACAAGGAAGAGATCAGCCAGTCAGGGTGCAATATAGCACCGATGAAACATACACCTTTCCTCTAGTTCTTTAATGCCAAACCCCCCGCTCCACTCCCACTATCACAACCCCAATTCTACCTTACAAATCTGGCTAGACCAGAGCATGTACATGGGTACAGATAAGAGCTGGAAATGCAGGGAATCCAGGACAGATAAACCCCTCAGGACCAATAATGAGAGTGGCGATAACAGGAGGTTAAGGGGAAGGTGGGAGGAGAAAGGGGGAACTAATCACAATGACCTACATACAACCCCCTCCCAAGAGAACAGACAAGAGAAAAGTAGGTGAAGGGAGATATCGGTCAGTGTAAGAATGAATAAAGAATAATTTATAAATGATCATGGCTTCATGAGATAGGGAGGGTGACAAGGGAGGGGAAAAATTAGCTGATACCAAGGCTCAAGTAGAAAGAATATGTTTTGAAAATGATGATGGCAACATATGTACAAATGTACTTAATACAATGGATGGATGTATGGATTGTGATAAGAGCTGTACAAGCCCCCAGTGAAATGATTTATATATATATAAATCTGTATGAGCCCCGATAAAATGATTTTTTAATTGCATAGCAATGTGCAACAAAAAAGGCCTGATTTGTGGCAGACAGGGTACTAGTTTTGCCACCATGACAATGCACCTGCTCACATAGCCATTTCAGTTTGCCAGTTTTTGGCAAAAACAGCATGTCTGTCTTGCCCTATATACCTTACTCACCTGACCTCGCTTCATGCAACTTCTTTTTGTTGCTGCAAATGCAGAGGGACATGAAAGAACAGTGATTTGATGACATAGGAGAGGTGAAGAAAAAATTAGGGAGGTGCTGTCAGACATCCAAACAAAAGAGTTTGAAAACTTTCCAATAATGGAATCTCAGATTTGACAAATGTGTTAAGTGTAATGGAGAGTCTTTGAAGGTGATAAGGTTGTTTTGTAAAAAAAATTAAATATATAGCTTTGAAAAAATTTTGTGGTTTTTTGGGGGGGATACCCCATCCCATACTGCATGAGACCTCTTTAAAGTATTGGAAAGTAAAGATGTTATTTTGAAGACTAAGATGCACCTAGCCAAAGCCATGTATTTTCAATCACCTCATATACATGTGATAGTTGGACAGTGAAGAAGAAAGACTAACAAGAATCAATGCATTTGAATTATGGTGCTGGCAAAGAATATTGAAAGGGCTATGGTCTACCAAAAGAACAAACAAATTTGTCTTGGAAGAAGTACAGCCAAAGTGCTTCTTAGAAGCAAAGATGAAGAGATTTTTTTCTTACATACTTTGGAGATGTTATCAGGAGAGATTAATCCCTGGAGAAGGGCATCATATTTTGGAAAGTAGAAGGGAAACAAAAGAGAAGAAGACCATGGACAAGAGTGATTTACACCATGGCTGGAACAATGGGATCAAACATAAGAACATAGGCAGTTGTGAGGATGGCACAGGACTGGGCGATGGCTTGTTCTGACGTACGTAGGATTGCTATGAGTAGGAACTGGCTCTGGCACACAACAACAAAACAATGTGATAGCTGGAACTTTCTGGTTGGTGAGGTGTGTGATGTTAGTTGATATTGATAATTTCTTGGGCATTATACATCCATTATGCCAGCTGTTCCCTATCCCTACTCTAGATCAAAGGGGGATTTCTTGTACTTGGCTCATCTTTTGTTGAACATCTTTTTAAGGTCCTTTTTTTTTTTAAAGGAATACCCATTTTACAAAGTATTTTAGTTCTATAAAACCATCTTAATTAGAACATAGTATGTGCAGTGATTAGAATATATGTAGACAGAGAGACTCAATGCCTGGAGACAGGTGGATTGGAGGAGACCTGAGAGGGCCTCTGACCTGAGTCTGTACAGACTAGCAAGATTTTATAGGTTTAGTCAAGGGAGTACATTTGTGGGTGGGGATGTGTGATTTCGCTAGTTCCAAGAATCAGGATTATCTCCAGGATGTTTTTGTGGGTGGAGTTTTCTGTGAGTCATTTTCCTTACAGAAATTGCTAGAATTTCTATGTCAAGGAGTCCAGGAAGGAAAAGAATGTTTGGAACCTGATTGTGGTAACAATTGTATAACACTGCTTGATGTGATTTAATTGTGGAATGATATGATGCATCTATTGAATCCCAATTTTAAAAGAAGATTTAAAGAAATTGCTGGACCTTGGAATAGAAAATTGAAGATTAGAGAGATATAGGCTCACTCTGAAGATATTTTTTAAAATGCAGTTACTGTCTCTATCAGGTGGTTAAAGACAACCATTTATAACCCTAGTTTGTTTTGCAAAACAAAAATCAGAGAGAAGGGTTTAGGTTCAATACTACACACTGAGATAGATGGTCAGAATTAAAAATTGAGGGACAGAAGGGATGAATTCATATATATTTACTATTTATTTGGTGGTTAACATTTTTGAAGCAATTTTTAACATTAAAATAATTATAACTTATGAAATGAAATTCGGTGATACTGATTGACTTACTCAAATTTATATTTTCAGAATATTCCTTTATACACCCACATAATCTTTACCTTAAGTGTAGTATAAAAACCTGCCTGCATTAATCTTTACTTAACATTTACCATCATTTACTATTTATAGTTATCTCCGTACTCACCTGGTCTTCTGCAAGACAGTACATTTTTTGACAGTCAAAAGTGTGTGTTATTTCTCCTAGCATGCAATACTTGTATAATACTATAAAATAATCCAGCATAACATAAGCATGAATAAGTATTGAGTGTATGAGTGAATGATTAATGAATGTTGGTCACGTGGGAATTTAACCAAATTGTCTTTGTTTGAAATGATTTGCTCTTATTCTTACACTTACTTTGTTCTTACTTTTTCCCTTGTTTTCTTTTATCTTTTTTTGTTTGTTTTTGTTTTCTTTTATCTTTAGCATCCCTTTGAATGAATACAAATTGCTTGCTTGTGATATACAGCAACTTTTCAAAGCAGTTACAATTCATGCTTGCAGTTCCTCAGGCTCACAATATTTTAGGGTGATTGAAGACCTTATTGTACTGCTTGGATATCTTCAAAACAGCAAAAACAAGAGGACACAAAGTAAGATCTAATTTTGTGGTTTGTGGGGAGTTGTATCGTAGTAAAAAATGTTATACGAACTGAATCTCTTTTTTTCTTTGAAACTCTTTAATTAAAGATGCTTGTCTTAATTTTGTGATCAGACTATTGGCTTTTAAAAGAAGCCGTTTTGATTAGCAAAAATAATGGAATAATGCCTTGGTATAATACAATGAAATACATTTGTGAATTGGTCTTTTTGCATTGAATTTTGCATAGTGGCACGTGGAAATTGCTTTTAAATTGCTGTTTAAGACAGTTTTAAAAATGTTTACTACCAACAAGATTTTTTGTTTGCCAAAATTTTTAAATGTACACTTTCAAATTAATTAAGCAATATTAGCAATTTAAATAAAATATAAATATAAAAATAAGTTTAATTGTAAAAACTAACAACAAATAGCTTGAAACCCATCTAGTGTCTTCCTTTTTTAGCTATGGCTACTGCACTACAGTTTAGAGTTCTCCAGGCTGCTGTTGAGTTCATAAGGACCACTGCAAACCAGGACTCGGAAAACCTGACGGATTTATTTCCATTGCCTTCTACTCCCCATCATGCACTGTTTCAAAAGCAGAAAAGCATTGCTGGTGAGTACAGAAATAATATTTTAATAATTATAGATGGACGGTGGCCTTACTTTCCAAATTATACCATTCAGATTTTAAATGTTTTAAAAATGATTTTCACCGTTTCATTCATCAAGTCAGGAAGTACTCTAATGTGTACTCAGGTTTGTTCAGTAATTTTCAGTGGTGTTTTTCATGTATTTCTTAATGTAAACAGTCAAGCTATTTTAAGACGATCTTTTCAGAGGCAGCTATTCTTCACTCTTTCCAATACTGTTCTCAGTTAGCTATTTCTTGAGTATCTTCCATGTGCCCAAACACTGGGATAAGCATTAGAAATATTCTGAAGAAAAACATAGACACAGTTTCTGCCCTTCTATAGTTTATAAAGTGGCGGGAAACAAAGTGGGAATAGATATTACAAGGTGATGTGGTTCAATATCAGTGGTTAGGGGAACCTTTGAGAAAGTGAAATTTCTATATAGACATGAAAGAGATGAATGAAGCTAGCACAAGGAAGCAATCAAGCTAGACTGAATGGCTTGTGTGAAGGTCCTGAAGTGAGAAAGAAAGCCATTTAGCTTCCTAAATGTCTGATCAACTTGTGCCTTAGTTAACACAATAGCCACCTGGCCATTTCCTATTTGGTCTATAATTTTTCCAAGTCAGCCTCCTCTTTCATTGAATAATTGCATTTTTATCACCCTGATTTTTAGAGTCCAGCATAGCTTCAAACTTGTTTGTCTGAGTCTTTTTTAAACTGATCGTGAACATATACGAAGGCATTCAACTGTGTGGATCATAACAAACAATGGATAACCTTAGGAAGAATGGGAATTCCAGAATACTTCATTATGCTCATCCAGAACTTGGACATGGATCAAGAGGCATTTGTATGAATAAAACAAGGGAATGCTGCATAGTTTAAAATCCAAAAAGGTGTGCCTCATGGTTTTATCCTCTAACCATACTTATTCAATCTGTATGCTGAACAAATAATCAGAGAAGCTGAATAATATGAAGATGAGTGTGGCATCAGGATTAGACAGAGGTTTGTCAACAATCTATGGTATGCAGGTGACACAACTTTGCTTGCTGAAAATGAGGAAGATTTGAAGCACTTGATGAAGATCAGGATTGCAGCCTTCAGTATGGATTACAACTCCATGTAAAGAAAACAAAAGTCCTCACAACTGTACCAATAGGTAACATCATGAAAAATGGAAAAAACATTGACGTTATCAAGGAGTTTGCCTTGCTTGGATCCACAATCAATGCTCATGGAAGCATTGGCATCAGTCAAGAGATCAAATGACACATTGCATTAGGTAAATCCGCTGCACAAGACCTCTTTAAAGTGTTGAAAAGCAAGGATGTTTACTTTGACGATTAAGGGGAGCCTGACCCAAGCCATAGTATTTTCAATCACCTCATATGTATGTGAAAGTTGGCCATTGAATAAGGAACATTGGAGAAGAATCGATGCATTTGAATGATGGTGCTATAGAATATTGAAAGTACCGTAGGATGCCAAAAGAACAAACAAAACTGTCTTGTAAAAAGTACAGCCAGAATGGTCCTTATGCACAAGATAGCAAGACTTATTCTCATGTATTTTAGACATGTTGTCAGGAGAGACCAGTCCCCAGAGAAGGACATCAGACGTGGTAAAGTAGGAAGGCGGTAAAAAAGAGGAAGGCCCTCAACAATAGAATTGACACAGTGGCTGCAACAATGCACTCAAAAGAAGAACAGTGATGGGGATGGGACCGGAGCAAGCAGTGTTGTGCTTTGTTGTACACAAGGTCACTGTTAGCACCTAACAGCAAGGAAATGCAATTGCTGAAAGCCATATAAGTTTTACAGAATTCTACAAATTTCCAGCTTGATTTAAAAAATCTTAGAAGTCACCCCGTGTAGCTGCTTCAATTTACAGATCCACAGAAGCCTAGAATTAGTGATGTCCGAATGGAAGCCCTGCACCTTATCTTTGTGGGCTGCACCACCTCTACCCACTGCTTAACCCGTATTTGCTCTTTTAGGACCTGTCTCCTATCAGTGCTTCCCGTTTTACATAATTCCTTTATTTAAATTGTGTTCTTATGAATCCAGTTTATAAAATAGCTCTTTATATATGTTACATTGGTGCTTTGTAATTGTTGATGGTTATGAATTGTTTATATACCATAAAAGCTGTCAGAGATGTAGACGTTAGAAAGAAATTGCATATAATAGGGACGTTGTCTGCCAATGTTGTTCTTGAATGAACCCAGGATATGAATTTTTTTTTCTTATTTGCTACATTTTTGCCTCAAAGATGATTCTACTCACCAAATTGTATTCACAGGTTAAGGATACTGATGAGTCAACTAAAATACTGGCCAATCTAAGATACTGTTAGAATTTTTAATATCTTACAGGATGTCATTAAAATCTCATCAAAATTTACTCATGTAATTAATTTTTGTAGAAACCATTTATCACCATTATGTTTTCATAATTTAAAATGAAGGTTCAGTTCCAATGAAGGGTTCCATTATTCCTGACTTACTAAGATGATATTTTGGTTCTGATGTTTAATTTGCAATTCCCTGCTCCTTCAGTCTGTTGAATCAAGAGTCATCCACCACATTTTCACCTAGGTCCACTGCCTATGTATTATATCCTGGAGCAGGTGCAGTAATGGTGTGGCTATGTTATTCCTACCTATTCATCTGAGCAAACATCTCCATAAAATTGCTTCATAGAATTGAATTCTAACTTATGTGTATGCCTCAAATCTTGTTAATAATAAATCACTAGGATTATATTAATCTCTTGTTATTTCTGTACTTTATTTGACTGATATTTAGCTTGTCACAATTCACCCTTTTCAAAACTACTTTATAAAGTTCAACAATTGTAATTTTCCCAAAATAGTAACATTTTGGTGAAAATATAGGTGCTGTAAAGATCTGTTGATAAGGATGAAGCAATGAAGTGAAATAGTAAAACCTTCTGAACAATTTAAGCCTATTTAATACAGAAGTATTGCAGAAGTATCAACCTTTTTTTTTTTTAAGTATTAACCTTTGCCAGTGAAATCTATCATGTTAAGCTCTGTCATATATTTCATACATTCTTTTGTTAGCATTTGTAAATAGCATACCCTTCTTCAAAGAGGGGTAAAAATTACTTTCTCTTAAACAGTTTTTTCTTTGTATAAATTCATGTTAAATAAGCATCTTTTGATGGTCTGAAAATCAAAAAGTTGCAGTAAAAATAGTTTACTTGGTGAGAGTATAGACTGCTTCGTTTTTAACATTGACATTTGATGTTTTAATTTATATGTTTGTAGGACCTCGAAAATTTCCCCTTGCTCAAACTGATTCACTTCTGATAAAAATGCGTTCAGTGGCAAGTGATGAGCTTCATATGTTGATGCAACGGAGAATGAGCCAAGAAAACCCTATCCGGGCAACTGAAACAGAGCTAGCCCAGCGACTGCAGAGGCTAATCGTTTTAGCTGTTAACAGGATCATTTATCTAGGTAGGCTTCCGGAGTAAATTCCTCCTACGTCAGATCTTTTATTAAAAGGGAAATCATTTAAGGGAGAATTGTTTAGGTTTCAAATTTATAAATAACATATTTTTACATTTCTTAACATTTAAACTATTCAAGTAATTTCTTGTTGCGAACTGATAGCCTTCGATAAAAGTCCACTTTTTAATGGATTAAACGAAGGCCTGGGTTGATCATTGAGTTTGAAACAGTATGGCACTTCCATTGTATTTTTTAATTAAACTTTTGTTTTGAGATAATTTAGATTCACCTGTAGTTGTTAAGAAAATAATTTTTTAAAAAAAAGAAAATAATTTTTTTAAAGGGTACAGTTCTGTGTACCCCTTATCCAGCCTTCTCAGTGGTAACTATAGAACAATATCACTACTGGGACATTGACATTTGACAGTCAAGATACAGACCATTTCCATCACCATTAGGAGTTCCTTATGTTACTCTTTTAAAGGTATACACAATTCCCTCCTGTCTCCACCCCCTCTATAACCTTTGGCAACTTTTAACCTCATCAACAGAGCTATAATTTTATCACTTCACAAATGTTATATGAATGGAATCATACACCATGCCTACCAGATTAATACATATCTAAGAAAGCAAGGAAGACAATGAAACAGTAACTATATGGTAGTTTCTACCCACCTTTCATTGAACAACATGAAAGCAAGAGATTTGAACCAAAGTCTAACGACTCCCAAATCCATAAATTTTGGATAGCAGCCAAGGGAATATGCTGGTTCCTTAAATCTGCTACAGGTGATTTTGAGGTAAAGCCCCATTTGCTTGGTTGGGTTTTCACATAGAGTACTTCCAGTGAGACCTATGAAAATGTTGTGCACCTAGAAGAAAACAGCGTCTAAAACCCCAGTGGTCTATAGCACACAGCCTGGGTCATCCAGGGCTGAATGGAAACTAAATGAAAAGTCTCCAATTAGGAACAAAGTACAGGGTGTATTTTAACCTTAGGGTCTATGTATGGTAAGTGTTTTGTTTTGTTTTTTCCACATGAGAGGTTTCCCTTCCTGTTTTACACACCAACAGAAAGGTAATCACCTTCCCTGAGACTACCCCTCATCTTGACTTACATTTCCAGTAAGGTTTGTTTATCACTCTTGTAGAAGTATCTGTTGATTTGTGGGGACCTTAGAACAATGTTGTACTATGGCAGCAATTGAGTGGTTTTGTTCCTCTGCCTCCCTCTTAAGAACTGACCCCAGCTGAGGTGAGATCTTCTCTGTCAAAGTTGATGTACATATAAAGGGAGTGATATATGGGTCGTGGGCACTAAGTGGGCTCTGTACTTTGTTGCTTGGGAAACAGGATTAGAAGATTACATGACTGGGAGCAGAAGCCTGCTTTCTTACTGTTTTTCCATATAGTAGATTCATACAATATTTGTCCTTCTGTGATTGAATAACTGCACTCAGCATAATGGTTTCCAGGTCTATCCGTGTCATGAGGTGTTTCGTAGTTTCGTAGCTTTTTTTTTTCAGGGATGCACAGTATTCTATTGTGCGCATGTACCAGAGTCTCACTATCCACTCTTCTACTGATGGATACTTGGGCTGTTTTCGGCTTCTTGTTATTGTGAATTGTGCTGCAATGAACATGGGAAAGCATATGTTTGTTAATGTTCTGTCTCTTATTTCTTTCTGGGATAGGCCCAGCGAAAGTATTGCCAGGTCATGTGGTATTTCTGTCCCCAGTTGTTTTAGGTATATTGCTTTTGAAATGGTCGCCCACCAGCATTGTACACCATCTCTTCTCTCTTTTTTAAACTGGCTTATCATTCTAGGTGTAAGGCAATATCTCATTGTTTTCATGTGTATCTCCTAAATGACTGGTGCTCATGAGCATTTCCTCATGTGTTCATAAACCTTTCGAGTGTCATCCCTTATGAATTATCCATTCATGTTCTTTGCTCACCTACTAATTGGATTACCGAATATACTAGATTAAAAGCCCAGTTTTTCTGGCACATTTTTAATTCCGTTTTTGTGGTAAAATTAGGTGCCTCAGTGGATATTCGGGTTGGGTTATACTCGAGTATATACAGTATTTGATTTTTTCCTATTGAGGTGTTGCAGAATCCTACAGATTTGAGTAAGTAGTTACTCTTCCTTGTGTCATTGCTATATAGGATTTTTTTCCATATATGTAGACTCTCATTTTACTCTTTTGATAAAGTCCTTTGATGAGTGTGTTAGGCAGGGTTCTCCAGAGAAACAAAAC